TTTTTCAGCGCGATGATACGACGAAGTCCGACTCGGATAGAAATGCGGCTGGACGACCTGCAGGTGTACGAGGAAATAAGAAAAGTGCACGAGTCCAAAAAGGATCCCGAGAGGAAAGCGTCGTCGTCCATGAACCCGCCAACGTGGGGTGGCAAGATCCCTCAGAGCGAGATTCAGGATCGCATCGGTTACGTGCCGCAACATCCGGCCAGTCACAATCGAACCGCGACATAGCAGCCGACTCGGGATACGAATCACAGCATGAATAAACAGCAGCCAAATTATGCGTTTCAACAGAACTTTGATTTCAAGCTATTCGGCACATTTATACGAATACGATTTATATACGACGTACTTACATAAAAATTAAGACCGTTTTTTTTATCCAATGAATTCATTCTTCGTAATTAATCACACTGGTTATGATCCAGAAGTCATAATCCTAAGAACAGTTTTTACAATATGACGTTGCTTTTATTTACAAAATGTAATCGCTATGTGTGAAATATACAAAGTTAATGGACGATATCCGATATCTTCTTCTTCTTTTTCACTTTCATCGGCATAGGTCCTGGCATCTTGAATACCGTGCTTAAAAAAGTTTCAATAAATCACAATTATCGTTTATGACATACACAAAATGTATTAATACACAATACGTACTATGTATTAAGGACGTTCACCGGTCCTTATACTACAGAAAATTGATTTTCTATAGATTTTCTTGAAACTGCGAATATACGTACGTTAATTTAGGTGTGCTTTATGCGTGGTATAAATTTCAGTATCTCTTGCGGTATGAAAATCAAGCTACTGAGCCTCAAAGTTTCAATTTTTACCAAAATTTAGTAAGAGTTGAAACTTTGAGGCTCAGTAGCTTGATTTTTTATACCGCAAGAGGTACTGAAATTTATACCACGCATAAAGCACACCTAAATTAACGTATATTCACAGTTTCAAGAAAATCTATAGAATTTCGATTTTCTCTAGTACAAGGACCGGTGAACGTCCTTAAGGGCCAATTTCACCAACCACAGTTAGCTTAACCGACGGTTAAAGTTAGCAGGATTGACCAATATAGAAAGCAGGGTGGATTCATTTCTATTGGTCAATTCTGCTAACTTTAACCATCGGTTAAGCTAACTGTGGTTGGTGAAATTGGCCCTAATACACAGTATAATTAATATATCAGCTACGAAAATACTTACTGACAAGTAGTGCATATTGGACTGAATTTGCAGAAGACTATAACAAAGATAAAGACACCTTTTTAATATAAATAAATTTAACAATGTTTAACATCGGTGTGTGTTTAAATGTTTTCTACATTCTACATTGTTTCACATTGATTAAAATTGACTCTTGGCATTGCTAACTAGACGTAACTTTAAAGCAATACCTACTTGACAAACATATGGAACAAACATATCCGATATCAATA